GGCTGTCGCAACAAACTTGCGATCGACTTACACTAATGTAAAACCGGCTTATGGCGGCAACTTTGGCAGTTGATCCAATTAAAAGGTGACTCTCATTTTGCTTCGCTTTACAGTGAAGTTTGATTATAAGAAACTAGAAGTCTATGATAAGAAGTGATATAAAGAATAATAAAAAATTGTAATACTAACTTCTAATAGTTTATAATAATTAAAAAAAAAAATTCAGTAATTTGAAATTTTTTTTTAATCAGAGAGAAACCTGAGAGAACATGATGGCCCGAAATCTATAACCGCAAAATACTGCCGCGCACTACTGCCCTCTGACAAAGTGGATGTAAACTATGTAGTAACGTCCACTTTTCTTACGGTACATTGTCTATTTTTCAAGGCCAGAGATAATAAATCGATATTTGGTTCGTATAATTATACTATATGTAGCACGATTATATGAACCAAATATCGATTTATCATTTCTAACCTTGAAAAATGGACGATGTATCCTAAGAAAAGTGAACGTTGCTATGTAGTTTACATCCACTTTGTCAGAGAGCAATAATGCGCGGTAGCATTTTGCAATTACAGGTTACAGATTTTGGACAGTCATGTTCTCTTTCAGGTTTCTCTCTGGTATCATACATCAACCTCTTGTTTCTTCTGGCCAAATTGAACTCATCTAATTCCATTGCTCCTGGTAGAGAGAAACCTGAAAGAGGCTGGCCTTTTTCCTGTTACCGTTAAAATTGTCCGTGCACTACCGCCAGTACATCCATTTTCAGTTTGAGAACTACGTTACTACATACATTTTCGAAAAAATCGTATCGTTGAAAATAGATGTGGTTCGTTTCTGTACTAAATCCTCAGGGCAGAAGGGTGCTGACTATCCATAGGAGAGATCATTTAATAGGTCCTTGAACGAAAAAATTTTAATTTTGCATCTTCTACATATGTAAATAAAGTTGTTGAATTTTAAGGATTAAAAACCTTTTTCTAATTTTTTCTTATTAAATATTTTATGTAAGTTTTTGATAAGTTAAAGTGCGACGATTCGTATTATGTATTATCGCGATTACATTTCAAAAAGAAATGTGAAGAGCGACACGCGACACAGATATCTGTTTGTACGAGCCTTGGGAATGGAATGACTGTGCGGTAACTACGCGTGATGTGTCACTCCGTGCCACCCTCATCTCCTCCCTAAGGCTGCGCGCCAACCGTCTAACTGTCGAAATAACGAATATTACGAATAAGTAAAATATATTCTTTATATTTTTAATGTTCTCCAATTAGTAGGCTTTATTACACGGTTTTTACTTTATTTCTTAAATTCTTTATGCATTCACGCAGTTTATGAATATCTTAGTTTACAATAAGTGTTACAATAAGTGATTATCAGTTTATAATAACCCGCAAAAAAATATTATATATATATGTTTTGTACATAATTATATATAGTTATGTGTAATTATATATAAAACATTCTTCTCGGGAACTTTATATTATACAAAATCCGTGCAGTGTACACAATATTTTTAATAAAAGATTGACGCCTTATTCTTATATTTGAATTCTATTATTCACGTTTCATTCTAAGATATAAGAGTTATTTAGTATTTATTATTTTAAATTACTATACTTCCAACTTATTACTTATTAAACATATTTAATATTTTTTATTTTAATAAACGAAATTGAAAATTCAAAGTTAACTTAGTGAATTTTGTCTTATAATATCTTGATAAAATTACAAAGTTATATTTCTTTATGCAAATTTTCAGAAAATTATATATAATTCTATATAATCATAATTTCATATATAATTATATATAAATATATATAAATATATATATATATATACAATTATATATATAAAATTATTATTATATATTTTTATATAATTTTATATAATTATAAATAAAACATTTTTTCCCGGGTAGTATAACTTTTATTTTAGAATAAGACGTGAATGACAGAATCATTCACGTCTTATTCTAAAATAAAAGAATTATTTAGTATTCATTATTTTAAATAACAACACTTCTAACTTATTTTTTATTTAATATTTTAAATAAGTTTCCCGAATCTATTTTATATTTTTTATTTTAAATAAGTCATAACAGTTATTTATGATCGATATTATACGTAAGTTTAAAGAATTTCTGAAGCACAAAATAATTTGCAACAGTAGTGTTATAAATTAATTTTTTGAAAAATTAAATAATAATTAACAAGATATTTAATACTTTTAATCAAAACTGTATTAAGCGCAAATTGTTTCGCAATATTAAGAAAATTTGGATATATCTTCATAAAAGATGTATAGAATATTATTAATCTTTGTTTAAGTATGAAAATCATTTAAAATAATTTTTTCATTTTTTAAAGAATAATGAAAATTAAGACATAATGTACTAAATACATAATGTACATAATGTTAGAATATCAAGAATACCTCACACACGCGAATAATTATCAATTACGTTTATAAAAAGAACCGCACAAATAATATAAGACTAAACTAGTGCTAAAAATGCCACAAAACAAAGCGCGAAATGTACGACAATATCCGTTTGTAAAATACGAATAATTGAATAAACCGTGAATATTTATCATATTAATTAGGTTAGTTGGATATCTAAACGGTGCGCGGCGAACAGCAAGGAGTGGGGGAGCGTGCCGCGCGTCGCAATGGTTGACTATTTATCAATGCTCATAATGTGCGACCTGTGAACATATCATGGCGACGTTCGTATATATTATAGTTATATTATCACACGCTCTAAATATACGTTGAAATATATAATAGTTTAGAAATTATAAATTGTCACGTTTAGACTCTTTAATAGTCGTGAGTGATAGCACATCGATGGCTTTGCATATCATTCTCTATTTTCAGATTAAAAGCGTACGATGCATAAATTTAAATTTATTAAATCACGGAATTACGATTTAAAAGTAACAAAAAGCTAAAATGCGTCAATTTTTTGTTAAAAATATTGCGTATAAATACTGCGCGGATTTCGTGTAACAAAAGTTATTACACTAAACGCTTAATGTAACACAATTTTAAATATCTAAGATGAGTTGTATGCATATGAATCCAAGAAATAAAGCAAAGATCATGCAATAAAGCTTATATTTATCTTAAAAAGAAGAATCTTAAAAATGTAACGACTAGATTATTTTACTGATTTTGTTATATGCATTAATATCGACAGTTAGATGATCGGCGCGTAACTTTTGGAGATTGTTTTAGCGCGAAAGAGGATGGGCGGCGCGTCATGTTTATGCGAAATTACCACGCAGTCATTGCATTATCGAAGCTCGTACAGGCAGGTAGCCATGTCACTCTTCTTCACATTTCTTTTTGAAACGCAATCGCGACAAATACTATGGAACATTGTATTTTACTAAAATACTAAAAGTATACGATACGACTAACTTGCACGATTAATTATTCATAAAAGAATTGAGACGACAATCATGTATCATGTAACAGATGTTTCATTCATTTGGAATCAAAATGCGATGGGAAAATAGAATTTATTCTTATTTCGCAATAATTACGGACGATATAATTATTTTTTTAATGTAACATTTTTGTCTCGCTTGAGTATAACTCGATTATTCTTCGAACGGTATTACGCGAGTTAACAAAAAAGCTACGTTAATATAAATATACTCTTATGCAATTTCTGCTTTCATAATTAATATAGTTTATATAATTATATTAAAAAATCTACAAAACTTGCGTTTGATTATCCGTGTTGACTCTCATTAGCCCTGTTATTTATTTATGTTTGTTTTTTAAAGATTGAAAGCCTGTTTTAATAATTACTGTTTATTATTTATTATTATTATGATCGTGATTAGATCATCCCGCTGAATTTATCACCATGTAATAGGAGATGGTTAGGTATTAATTGCACTCAGCAGAGAAAGCAGCTTTGCAACTGTTATAAAATTCTTCAATATATGATCGCTTTATACATTTAAATCCAGGAAATAAGGAATCAAAGCAAAAACCAATCATATTAAAGAATTTTTTACAACAATAGAAAAGCTACTTTTTCTGATGAATACAGCCATTAACGTATTACATATATTCGCGGTGTTATTGCATACTTAAGAAGTAAGTAATATAGATAGAAATACACGGATGGAGGTATACCTGAATAAGTACAAATAAAAATGCGGATAAGTAGGGACTGTATAGGTAGAACGATAAGTATAATAAACAAGTAGGAATAAACACATATGTATACATACTTGAATTGGCAAGAAGGGATTAAATATTTAATATTGAATGAAATTTTAAATTAATTTTAAGTTTTATTTAATTAAACTGTATGGGGTTAAAAATAACGCGGTAACAGTAAGTTGTAACACTTACACAAAAAAAAAGTTATAAACAAAATGCAAGTGTAAAAAAGATATAGAAGTTTGTAATAAATATATTATAAACTTCTATCCCTTTCTTACGCTTTTATATTTTGTTTATTACGTTTTTTATATAAATGTTACAGCTTACTCGTGTTATTTTTGATCTCAGTCTCTCCTATTAGCATCCCATTCCAATTATCAAATATGAAAATAAACCAAATTAATTTCAAATTTTATTGATTTTTCAGCTACCCTGATTTAAAAAAAAAATTTCGAAATTAAATATTTATCAAACTTATTAGATCAATAAACAATTTTATTTATTATATGTATCGTCGATTTCGTATAATTTACATTAATTACGCAATAATTTGGTTTACTGTGACAAGATAAATATAATGCTATCTGTATTGAATAGATATTTAATACAGATATATGCAAGTATATCTGTATTAAATATATTAATATAAAATAATCATATCGAATATATATGTATATATTTGCAATAATTCATATATATAAATATTCGAATGCTACACTTACTTCATACCTGTAAATAAATTTCGTCTGAAAATATACTACTAAAAATATAGAACATTTTTAATTAAAGATATTAAAAATGAAAGGCAGTTGATATTTATTTCCCAAGTGAAAAAAATGTTACGAGAATTCATTTTTACTAAGGATTTTCTTCATAGTTTTTTCCAAACTCGGTAGTAACTCGCAATAAGAGTCTACACATTTGGTGGCACATTTTTCAAATTCTTCACTGTATCTATCCACTTCAGTCTGAGTCGGGTTTGGACCCATTTTATCTTTTATATTATCATTGCATTCCATTATGCACCTTTGTAAGCGATTCTGGAAAATTTCGTATTTTATAAATTAAATAAAAGCAAGGAAAACATACTTCTTTAAAAGATCACAAGTTGAGATATTTTGCCTTGAATTTCTCTTAGCTTGAATATCTAACATTATACATATGTTTCACTTGCTTATGTAGATTGGGCTTAAGTCTCCTATGCAAAATATTATAAAATACAAAAACAGTCAAATTACGTAGATAAAAATAAATTGAACAAGTTTTATTACCTGTACTCGTTCAAACTCTCCTTGAACGTATTGTTGTGCTTTATTCAAAGAGGAACTACAATTCTCCACACAAGTATGTACTTTTTGTATGCTATATGATTCATTTTCACAACATTGTGCAGCACATTTATGCATATCCCTCTAAAATTACAAATATAATTTTATATACAGATTGTCCCATTTTAAAGAGTCTAATCAAATAACAGCGTTAAATCGAAAAATGATTCAAAAGTTTTGTGTTTTTTTTTTTGACTTCGAGGAAAACATAAAAATATTAAACATTGGTTTAATCTTGAATGTTGTCAAAGTCAGGACAAAATCCTTAAAATTTTTAAATAGGAATTTTTTTAATTCTTATTTTTTATTGCATATATCTTATATAGCTTATCTCGAAAGCTTTTCAAAATATAATAATATTTTTTCATTAAGTACTCTTTGAATTATATGACTTGAGAGTACAATAACTGCCGGCATTAGCGGTACCTAAAAATGGAATCACATGATGCTCGATTTCTTCAATGATAACATGCATACAGTTATGCCTGCTCTAATGTATGCTAGAATTCTTTCATGCATTGAGCATTGCATATACATGATTTTTATATTTATTATGGATTACTTCTTATTTCCTTGCATGTATCAATCAAAAGAAACAATTGCTAATTTCATAGTTATTTGTTAAACGTCAGACTGTATGCATCAAAGTATGAAGCAAAAGTATAGCAGCATGCATGCATGTTTATCATTTAAGAAATCGAGCATCGTGTGATTCCACCTTAAGATGTCCGGCCTCTCGAATATTGATAAGTTATGATTTTAATATATATTTGTTAAGATTAAAAGGCCTTTAGAGATTTTTTTAATTTTTTGTTTTTATATAAAGATGAAAGTAAAAGAACAACCTCTAATTACCTCGATTTTAACAAATGTTATCAAGATCACGATCCTTAATCTAAGAGAGTTTAGACGTTACTCGGACACCTTGAGTAATGTTAACGCTGGCGATACTGTAATTTTCAAGTTTTATAACTCAAAAAATACAATACTTAATAAAAAATTGTATTATTAGTGTTTTGAAACATTCTGGAGATAAGCTACGAGAAAATTTAATTTAAAAAAGGGATTTTGTTTAAAAAATTCTAAGTGATCTTGCCTTTATCTTAACAACATCATCGAAAGTCAAATCAATGTGCGTATGCTGCTGCTGGAGATCTTGTTCATTTTCGTTTTTTTCTACAACTTTCTACTTGTTACCAATGTAAAAATCCATTTTCAATTTCTGTGCCTTTCATTACACTATCTATTGCATTTCGCATTCTCATTGTAATGTATCGTCATATTTTATACACTTTAAATATCTTCTATATTTTATATTAAATCTATTACGATTGTGAGAGATTATCCTATAACAATTCTAAAGGATATCTAAAGGATGTTTACATTGTAAGGACATCTCAAGGACTTCTCAAGTCACCGCTCGGAGAACTGCAGGACTTAATATAATAAATACTTAATATATTATTTTGATTTTATTTCTTTTTCATGACATTGTTTTTTATTTTATATCATTATGTTTCTGAACATTTTTGTTTTGATTTGCGTAAAAAAATTGCATTTTAATTACATTTCTTTCTTTTTTATGACATTATTTTTAATTTTCATTATATTTAAGAATCTATTTACAAAATGGTTTTGTGTTAAGATAATGCCAAGTATAACTTGATGCCTTTTTTCATAGTGAAAAAGTGTTAAAAATATTTCATGAATTTCTGCTAATTCATATATAATTCATATATTAGTAATAATACATTTTGTATTCATATGTAAAAGACAATAATAATGACGAAAAAGATAAATTACTTTTTCGTCAAGGTTGGGTTAGGTTAGGTTTTCTTTAAAAAGAAAATTAGTTTAATATTTTCAATTCTCTACAAAAACTGTATCAGAAAAATTAAGCTGATAAAAACAAATATACACTTTCATTCTCATTAAAGACCATATTTTGAAGTCTTTATATTTGCTTATGACAAATTTGAATATGAGACAAATATGATACATCGTATACCGATAAACAAAAGAACTAATCCTAAAATATAAACATATTTAATATAATACTGATGTATTTTTGTCATTATTCCATGATACCATACTTTTTCTGCTGTTTTTGTTATTTTTTGAGATGGCAATTCTCTGCGATTTTTGCTTCACATCATGCAAGTAAATAAATTCGATTTTTACATTCTGCTAGCATAATATGACATCATGTTAGCCTCAGTTTTGATTTAGTTTTCGATGATTTGATATGTATATGTCAACAAGCAGTGTTCAAATTCTACTCTTTTTATGTCAAAAACTTCTGTTTGATTTTTGCAATATTTTTCACAGTACGTCTTGATACAGGAACTGCTCATTTTTTGCAGCATTTCCCTAAAGGCACGATCAATAATACTGATCAATAATAGTGACAGTATGCATTAATATTTTTAGTATTTTTACAACCTTACACAATCAATATTATTGACAATATATTTCATTTTAATTTTATGTACAATATCTATAATATTGTATTGTAATTGTGACATGAATCCTAATAAAGAAGTACATATTGGATGCTCAAAAATCAAAATCAAGATCATCGCTAGTATTCTATCATCAATCCATCAATATTTACAACACATGATCAATAATATTGTCAGTATTTATTAATATTGATTAGTAATACTGATCAGTATTTATTAATACTGATGGTATTATTGACCATGTAGGGTCATCTTAAAGGATTATTTGTATTGGCCATAAACTGTTAATTTATGCCGTAAGCTATAAGAAATTAACCATTAACAGTCGAATGTGAGAAAATAATGACTTTATTCTCCTCACATTTAAATGTGATTGATCAATTTATTCTTATAGCTTACAGCGTAAGTTAACAGTTTACAGCCAGTATAAATGATCCTTAACTTAGATAAAGATCATGCTCGGCTACTGCTGAACTTCTGCCAATACAGTATATAGCACACAATTTGTAAAATGTGCAGAATGTTCTTGGCAGACTTGGCTATCTGGATAATTAATCTATTAAAGATCTCTGGTAATTATATAGTTTAGCATCCGCAGCTCAAAAATCAATAAAATTGGTGTTTTTGCACGAAACGAAAGAATCTGGCAGAAAGTGTTATCCCGCAAACTAAGATATTAAGCGTTAAAATTGATGACTATTCAAGTTAGGAAATCATAGTCATGCAATGTCAGTATAAAAAGTATGTATATGGAGACAGTATGTTCCCCTTCATTCAAAAAAATAACCCTACTCAACCCATATTTTGGTATAGGGTAGTCTAATCTATAAGATTACACATAATTTTACACATAATCTTCCACGCGAAGCGACGTCCATAATATCGTCTGATACCAAAATATGAAATGGATTAGGTTATTTTTTTCGAAGTGGAACCCCCCCCCCCCCCCCATAGGGGAACGTACTGTCTCCATATACATACTTTTCATTTTCACATTGCACTGTTCACTGTTGCATAGCTGACAGATTTCCTAACCTGAATAGTCGACAACTTTAACGCTTAATATCTCGGTTGGCGGGACAGAGAGATACCTTTTTCTGCCAAATTCTTTCGTTTCGTACAAAAATGCATAGAATAGTTCAATTTTATTGATTTTTGAACTGTGGATGGTAAACTATATAATTATCATAATCTAACATTCAACAAAGATACCTGCATTTTCCGTAAATACATCTTGTCGATTTCTTCGACCATTTTCGTCATATGATCTTCGACTCGTTTTCTCTGTTCTTCCATTTTTATTTTAAATATTTACTCTTCGATTATATTTGATTATATTTATAATACAGTATATCAAACACGCGAGATACATGTGAGATACAGAGTGTTACAACAGGTTAATGGCCGCAGCACAGACGTGCATCACAGTATATACAATAACGCAACTCCTGTCAGCATCTTTGATGAGCTGCGTTCGGAAATACTCACTGATGTGCCACTAATGTACACCAGACGTTCGGAAATACCCGGTGTGCACTAGATCATTCGGAAATGTCAAGAGAGTCAGGGTCTGGAACAAGAATACTTATTTAAACTTAAATTGTAGACACACAGCTTGTAACGCACAAGCTTACACGTATGACGTACAACTTATTGCCATATCTCTAAGAGACGGCAATAAATAGTATGTCATACACCAAAGTTTGTGCGTTACTTACGTCTACAACTTAAGTCTCTAAATAAGTGTTACAACAATTATAATGTTACAACCGAGTGTCGCTAAACCAAAGATATAGAGAATGGACTGCGCAATCCCTATCTAAATAGTATTCAAATGTGGTCGACAATAATGAGAGAGAGGGACCGTAGAAGAAAGCCAAACTCCCTCTCATTTTCTCTCTCATTACGCCATTGAATAGAAAGAGAACAGAGATGGCTATCTTCTACGATCCCTCTCTCTTATTTTTATCATTTTGAACACCTGGATCTTGCAATCCATTCTCTGTCTTGCACCCGTGCGAAAAGCAAGGAGAGCCGGTGTGAGTCGGTGTGTTATTGCCGCAGCACAGACTTGCATAGCGCATAATGCATAGTGCATAAGAGAATCGACCAATCGAAATTTTTCTTTTCCACGAAATGGGGAAAAAGGACAATTATATCACTTTCTTGGATCAAAAAATTTTGAGCAGTTATATTAAACTAAAAAATTTGTCTTTTTATTTATTTTTATTCTAACATTTTTTATATTGCTGTGCTTTAATAATTTTAATTTTACGCACATCATACAATAGATTATTTGTATAAATGTTGTAAAATTATGTGCCAGTACTATTTAGAACAAAATTGTTCTAAGATCGACAATAAGTAGGAACTAATAGATTTTTGGACGAAGCAATTAATAGATTTTGGACATTCAGCGCCTAAAGTTTTATATCACTGATGTCAATTTTCTTTAAGGATTTACAATAATAAGACCTGTTACAATCAGAATATGATTAGTTGTCAACCTGTTATGCTGATTTTACAATGAATCGGAAGTCTTAGTCGATAAAGTTGACCAATAGCCAACTTGTAAGACTAACGCTGATTGATCAAATTCATCGATTAAGATTAATAGGCCTTCTACAATGAGCCATAAGTCATAAATCAAAAGTTAGGAACTTGACTATTGTGGTTGGTTCATTTTTAACCTATGACTTATAATTTATGATCTATGGTTTATTATAGAAAGCCAATAAAACTACCGATTCATTGTAGAATCAGCATTATATTAACTTTTTTTTTTTTATAAAAAAAAAATTTTACCATTGTCAAAAGTTAATACAGCAACATATAATTATATTATATATATATCGATAGTGAAATGTTTATTAGGCACCAGTAATCGTGGAAGGAATAACATATTCCTTTCTTTTTACAATCATATACCGCCGTCGTTTCTCTTTACAATCTTTCTTCACCGATGAATTATTTAGCTTATCGAAGTTATAGAGTTAAACATGAGTGGTGAGGTGGAATTGAGAAGACACACATGCCACACGGAAGACGTTCGGGAACACTCACCATCCAAAGGAACACGATACTCCCACTACATCTCCACTGAAGTCACCAAAATACCAACGAGTGATGTTTCCGAACGCAACCATGTTAAGGAGTTTGTACCATAATTTTCGTTTTGAATTAGCAAATTTCCCATATACTATGGACAATGCCCGACTGAGCCCACATAGTGGCACCCACCCCATTAAGCCTCCACCATCACCTTAAAATGTCACCAAAAGTGGGAATAAGGTAAAAAATGTCGTATTTTGAAACTGATAAGAATGCCATTTTATAGATCTCGATGGGCCAAACAAAAGGTGGTATACAATTTTGCCCTAGGATTCACAGTTTCGTAGATAGAGGGCTCTGAAGTCACAAAAAAAATAAAAATGTCGGAATTTCAAAAGTTTCGCATTTTTCCCATATAATAGGCCCTGAGAGAAGACGAAAATGTTCTATACAATTTTGTCGTATCTGTCACCGTTTGGGCTGTGGACTTTTTGTAAAGTTGACAAAACATTAAAAGGGTCGTTTGAGGGGTGGGGGGTCACCGGAGGGGGGTGGTTATAAGGAACAAAGTTGTTCCTCTCGTCGAGATACATCGATACCCCCACCTACGAAAATTAAATTTCTGATTTTTCAAAATTTTGAAATTTTTCAGTCCAACTCAAAAATGAAAGTGTTTCGACAACGTACAGAGCGACGAAATAGGCATGTAGGACAAACTTTAAGAATTTGAATTTTTTTTTTTGAAAATTTTTTTTTTTTTTTCTATGTCCCACACCCTCCAAAATGAAGGAAAAATGAGAGTGTCAAATAAATTCGTATCTATAAAATTTGGGTTAGGTCTGGAAAAATAGGGATTTTTTTTTATTTCCATTTATCCATACTTCGGTCAATTCGGGGAACATCGGTTAGATCGGAGTGACTGGCACGGGATC